TCCTAATTTGGTGTCATCTGCAAATTTGATAATTATGCCCTCAATACCGTCGAACATTTCCCCTTCTCATGTTTCAAAAATCTCCATTTAGGATACGGTAAGCAAATCCCTTTGTTCCTAACACAGTGGTCTTCTTCTCCACAGGAGGAAAGTGAGAAATCGATGGATCGTATCACATTCTGCAGCCTCGGCATCCTGATTGCCAGTCTTTTCCTAAGCGGTGTTTCTTCCAAAACAGGTACACTCTAGTTAACAACATACAGTGGGCCCTTGCTTTCCAGTGGGGTTTGCTTGTTTGTTTCATTTCCTTTATAAGCCACCTTTATCCCAGAAGGGACCCAAGGAGGCTCGCAGATAAAAACATTTTTTTAAAAAAAAAACACTACAATGAAAAATTCAAGAGTTAAAAATCATCTAAAAACAGTATAATACCATATAAAAATATACAAAAGCTAAAATATATAAACACACACCTCAAAGAAAAGCTACCCTGGCATGATTATTCAGTGGTCCCTCTACATTTGCTGGGTTTAGAGGTGAAGGACACTGTGAATATGGGGAAACCGCAAATAAAAAAAACACTATTCTTTTTACCTGAGAGAACATCTCTCTAGGAATCGCCAGGTCCTCCAGCACAACTCTGTGGTCAACATCTGCCAGAAATTGATCATAGAATCATGCTGGAGGACCTTCAAATGCCTAGAGAAGTGTTTTCTCTAGGAACTTCTAGCTTCTCAAGCTCAACTCTATGGTTAATTCCAGTGGATTTGTGCTGGAGGACTTAAGAGATTGCTAGAGAGAATATATTAATCAAAAGCTTGAATAATCAAAGCCTCAAAAGTCAAAACTGTTTGGTTCCAGGACACATACACACATACACCCATGGATACTAAAATCTGTGGCTGCTCAACTCTCATTAAATACAATAGCCTAGTAAAATGGTGGCCCTTATATAGAATGGCAAAAGCAAGGTTTGATTTTGGGAATTTATATATATGTGTGTGTGTGTGTGTGTGTGTGTGTGTGTGTGTGAACTATTTTCAAGCCATGGATGCTTGAATCCGTGCATAAAGAACCTGTGGATATGGAGGGCTAGCTGTATTCACTGCTTCTCACAAACATTTTGTGCAAGTATAGAATCCATCCAGCAGTAATGGATTTCACAATTAGCTAATGTGGTTGTTCCTAAAGCCTGAAACTGAAGTTTTATTTATTTATTTTGCACTTACATTGGTCCCTTGGTATCTACTGGAGGTTGGTTCCAGGACCCCTCATGGATACCAAAATCTATGGATGCCCAAGTCACATTATATACAATGGGCCATTATTATTATTATTATTATTATTATTATTATTATTACTACTACCACTACAGTGGGCCCTTGGTATCTGCTGGGTTTTGGTTCCAGGCTTCCTATGTGGATACCAAAATCTGTGGATGCTCAAATCCCATTAAATATAATGGCATGGTAAAATGGTGTCCCTTATATCAAATGGCAAAATCAAGGTTTGCTTTTTGGAATTTATATAGATATAATTAATTATTTTAAAACCATGGATGTTTGAATCTGTGGATAATGAATCTGGAACTGTAGATGTGTTCTTCAGCATGATATCTTTAACAAAACTTTGGCAGAGAAAACAGAGAAAGAATAGACATAAGTTGCTAAACCACAAAAGCAGTTCAACATGTTTCAGAACACTTTTTATTCCAAACTAGCAAAAACATTTTGAATCTTCTAAAAATGACTTGAATTCAAAAGCTGCTTCCAAAAGTCCTCAAGGGATTTTCTTTTCTTTCACCAGCCTCCACTCAGTGCCAACATGGTATACTGGTTTGAGCACTGGGCTAGGACTCTGGAGATCAAGATTCAATTCCCTGCTTAGCCCCAGAGGATGGCATTAGCAAACTCTCTCTGACAAAACCTGCCAAGAAAATTCCATCTTTGGTTCGCCTTAGGGTCTCCATAAGTCGGAAACGATCTGAAGACCCACAACAAGAATAAACAAAAGCTTCCACTCTCATTATGATTTCCATTTTGGTAGCCAGACTTCTAGGCGTGCATCTGTACTGTAGAAATGATGCAGTTTGGCAGCACTTTGAAGTGCTGAAGCTCCATCCTGCTGAATCCTGGGATATGTAATTTTACAAGGTCTTTTGCCTTCTCTGCCAAAGAAGGCTGGTGCCTCACAAAACTACAAATCCCAGGATTCTGTAGGATGTTTCCATGGCAGTTAAACTGGTTTAGAGTAGGGCTAGCACTGCTTAACCAGAGGCACTCCGTATTATCTGGATGAACATGGACAACATCCTGAAGATATACTAGGACCTGGAACAACGGATTTGAACTGCCAGAAAAAGAGATTCCACCTAAACATTCGGAAGAACTTTCTGACTATAAGAGCTGTTCGACAGTGGCAGGTGCTGCTTTGGGGGGTATTGAAGTCTCCTTCTTTGGAGGTTTTAAAACAGAGGTTTGATGGCCATCTGTCAGGGTGCTTTGATTCTGGGTTCCTGCATGGCAGAAGAGGGTTGGACTGGATAGCCCTTGAGGTCTCTTCCAATTCTAGGGATGTTATGACACATGGGCCAGTTTCGTTGTTAAAGAGATAATAAAGTGGAAATGAAGCATCCCAAAAAGAAAGCAAAAATAGAGCTTAATTTCACAAAAGCTTTTCACTCGTAATTACAGTAATAATGGAATTAAGTTAAAAGCGAAAAAAGATGTTTTTAACTTTCATACACAAGTGAAAAGAACCCGTACATGTACTGGAAATGACCTTTCCCCTTCGTAGGACCTACAGGGCAGAACTTCATGGTGAGATGGATCTCCAAGTTG